TTTTGTCACCACTTTTTCTCAGCTCTCATTGATCCGATTTCTTTCAACGGTACGTCAAAAGATCACAAATCGTATCTAGTCAAAAACAATACCATCAAATATTGAAAAAATTTCCCTCATTCCCCGTAAATGGGGGAAATCTCCAAAAAAATTACAAATTTAAAAACTGCTAATTTTGTACATTTTTTTACTTAAAACTGCCATAACTTTATCAAAAATACCAAATTAATATAATTTTTTTTATAAATGCATGATGTCTTTACATATCATTTGGTATATATATTTTTTTAATCTGACCCTTTACCTGCCCATGGGGAGGGGGTTCAAAATGACAACTTTTTCACAAAAAGTTAACTTTTGAAAGTGTTTTGGAAACTAACACTTTTTTATATATCTTAAATTAAAGCTTATGTAATATACTTTATCATGGAAAAAAAAATTCGGACTTTATTTTTTTTTATGGTGAAAACAGACATCAAAGTTAATAAAAAAAATTTGATTTTTGTAAAAAAATTCTTTTTTATATTTTTAACTTTTTGAATAATGTATGGATCATTATAATTTTTTTTAAGATAAGTACTATTTATATTCTTATTATATGCAGCATACTTTTTTTTTTTAATTGGACCCTTTCCCTTTATATATTATAAATATATATATTTATATTTATAAATCATAAAACATGTAATCAGAATATAAATAAGGAAATAGGAGATCATGTAGCTTTTGGAATAATCCACCAATTTTTAAACATTAAACACTATCTACAGATTTGCAACAAAGAGTTTTTTTTATAAGAGTGATTTTAATCATTGTCAGATATCATCTATGCCATGGCCCCACTGTACTGGGTTTTTTAATGTGAAAATGGTGTTTCAACCTAGTAATTATTAGATGGTATAATTTTTTTTTTAATTTTCAATTTAAATTTTACTGTTGCTATTATCATAGTTCTTTTTTTACACGGCGCTATTAGTGTCATTATCATGGGTGTATTACAGTGAGTAAATACAGATTAAAATTCAAAAGCTGTATGTTAATTATAGCAGTTTTTCAAGTACAAAATTTCAATTGTATCTATTGGAAACAGATATTTTTGAAGTGTAAAAACAAAACTTTTTGGTTATATTAATTCATACATTTTTGACGCACACAACTGAAAGTATCCTCTTTACAAATTATAAAAATCTCAAAAACCTATTTTTGTGACTTATAAGTTTTTAGATATCAGTCACGGAATTATTTATTTTATATTAAATAGTTAAAATAAATTAAAAATTTCTGAAAAATAATCAATTAGTGACTTTTTAATTTAAGGATTGGATGATGGTTTTATGTATAGCTGTGATATGTGTAAATTTAAAACAGTAAGAAAAGATACCTACATGCTTCACATTGTGAAACATAAAGAAGAAATCATACAAAAAAATGGGGTATGTGAGCCTCTTATTGATTTACAAGAAGTAAGACACATTTTATTTTAAAATATAATATTATTTCATGTGATATATCTAACAATATCTTTCAGGTTTTTAATGAAAAATATAAAGTCCAAAATGATGCTGTTGAACAATCATATTTATTTAATACTATAAGAGTAAAGCCTTTGAATACAATGAAACCAAATGAAATCATTGAATAAAAAAATATTGTATTAGCATTTAATTTTCTAAATGGAAATTGTGTACAGAACGTTTGTTTACATTATTATATGAAAAACATATATGTTACAAATATAATTAAATTGTCATTTAATTAATTTTTTAAATATATTGGAAAATTAAGTTTTGATATTTGATATCAGGAATTGGGACAATATTTTGATAGGACAGCCATTTTTAGGAAAATATTTATTAGTATTGAAAAATTGTTAAGAATGAGCTATATCATGAACAATTATTAGTTTAACCAGTTACCTACATAGTACAGGAATATTTTTGAAATAGTTTTAAAATACATTATTATATAAAATTATAGGTACTTATGTTATAAAATTGATCAAAAATCATTTTTAGGTAGTCATAAATAATATTTTTTCATGTAATTTAAATAAAATTAAAAAATTACAATATGAACAAAATGAAACTGTTTAAATATTACATTATAGGAATTCATTCTATAACACAAGTTAAAAAAAAAAAAAAATATATTAAAAATTGTACAAAAATTAAATATATCACATTAAACATGTCAAATTCTCGTAAGAATTACTTTATCCATATATAAGTGGGATTATCTTTACAGTTAAAATTATAATACAAATATTAATAATAATTTTCTTATTGTGGTTATATATTTCTTAAAATTTTGTTATCAATTTGTTTAATTTAAATATGATTAAAATAAAAAATAATTTTAAAAAACAAATTTAAATGATAAAATTATCAAGGAAAGATAAAAAGGGGTTAATTTTAAACATATTCATGAGTTTGAATCTCAGTCTCTGAAAGTTAACTTTGTTTATTTGACTAGGATAAGAACTAAAATTCAGTTACCATGTGTATCTTAAGTTAACAGCTAGCTGCATTTCTTTAGTTGTCACAAAATCTAACTAAAACATATAGTTAAGCATAGCAATGAACTCAAAATTTAATGAAATAAATATATATCATTACATATTTTATTAACTGTTTTGTGGCCTTGTTTTTTCACACTAAAGCTAAAAGGTTATTTTTTTAATTCAGACTATTTGTTACAATTGTTATAACTATTTAGGAAATAGGGTTACAAAAAGTAAAAAAAGCTAAAAACACTTTTAACTACTAAAAAACAAAAATTTTCTTAATATTTTTCTTTAAAATATAATAAGAATATTATTGATTATACATAAAATAAAACCAGAAAAAAGGCAAACAAATTTTATTATAAATATAATTTGCAACCCTTTTAGGAACTTAAAAAATATTGAAAACGTCTATGTAAATTACATGTCTAATTTTTTTTTTAATCTTATAACTAAAATTCAGAATATTTATTAATTGGACTAGAAAAATCAAGTCTTAAAAAATCGGCAGTAGAATTTTATGGCTTATATATCATTGGATTGGCATTTTAAAAATAAAATTAGAAATTTGAGCTATTTAATTAAAATGAACATAAAAAAAGTTAACAGTAAAATTTAATTAAATATATAATACTAAATGGCATTAAATTATTAAATGGCACTTAATATTGGCCACGTTTATGTCTAAGAAATAAAGCCTCATGGAAATCATAAGAACTCAGTTTATTTCTATCAATATGCAATGTAGAAAAAAGTTCTCCATCTGTCATGGACTTGGGAAATGTAAATACACATTTTCTTTTATCAATCATATTTGCTGAAGCACTCAATCTATCTTCATTAAATAAAGTTTGATAGGAGTGTGCTTTATTTGTATGGATAATATTACATTCTCTACAAGATGTCAAATTGTCAGCTGAAGATCCTTTATACAAAGGTTTCAGTAAATATTTTGGAACACATAAACTAGCAGATCTTAATTTTCGACCTGAAATAGGTGATTTTGTTTCAGGAGTACGATTAATAGATACACCAGATATAAATAGAGTAGGTGATTTAGGAATTCCTGTGTCAGATTCTATGTCAGCTGATATATCATTATCAGCACTATCTTCAGAATGACTACTCAATTTTTCTATTTTTATATTAAGCTTATGTTTAAATTGATTTTCCATATCTTTGAATTCTTTTTCCAATGTTTCATCCGATTTATCTATTGCTGTAGTTTTTCCAACCTTTTTCAATTGTTTGTATTGTTTAGATGAATTTTGCCAATAAAATTGGGCTAAAATATTGCACAACTAACAGAAAAATTATTTAAAATTGCACACTAAAGAAGTAAACAAGATGATAACACATACTTTTTTATCAGAACTTATAGGTGTAGCAATATTGCTGTCATCTAAAGATTTTACAGCATGACATTCTCCATTACTATCAATCTCCATAAGTATAGATGCAGTTCTTTTAGGTAACATTTGAAAATCATACTTCATTTTAAAATTGTTGGTACCAATTGACTCATTTTTATTATCACTGCTCATATGATACACATTTACACAATATCTAAATAACACATAAAGTATTATTTATTATGAAGCCAAAATAAATAAAAATCATTATACACATTAGCATTCAATACAATAAACAATTAATATATAATGAATGTATTGAAAAAGAATAATTAATTTGACTTAGTAAGGCAAAATAATTAAATCAAAATTTCATATAGAATAAAGTGATACAAGATCATTAAGATTGTAATTATATCATTAAACTCAGTTTATTTACATAGAGTAATGTTACAATATTATTGTAGTATTTTATACTAAAATTATGAAATGTATAATACGAGGTCATTTGAATTAATGATTTATCAGAATTTGGGTAATATATTTCTATTTAAAAATAAATTCATAAAAAAAGTAATTAATTTGATCATTTAAAAAGCAACACAATATTTGTTTTATCAACTTTACAAGAGAGAGGAACGAGAGAGAAATTAAATAAATTCATACTGAGAAGAATTAATTTATTATAAATAATTATTAGAGTTCGTCAACAATATCGCTGACTTTTTTTATTTTTACCACAATATAAAATATCACAATAATCGAAAAAAATAATTTTTAATGAAGAAAACTATTTCAATTTTGGTCACTTTGTTATAAAATATATATATTATTTGATATTAGCCCAAAAACATTTTGTGATTATTTTGTTATTATTTTATATAATAACAATTTATAATATATTATTGAATATAGAATTAAGATAATGCGAAAAATAATATTTATTGATACAAAATTCAATTCTTAGGTTTTTTATTATGACATTGTTGTTATTCCTATTTTTAACAAAACACGAACAAAATAATGTATGAGGAGAATTAGAGAAAGAAATTTTAAAATTAGAAGATATACAGCAACAACTGATTAAAACTCAATTTGAAAAATAAATTGAAATTAAGCCCCCCCCCAAAAAAAAATCCTTATTAGATGATAGTAATGTTTTATTCTGTAAAAGTTTAAATTATAATTTTGAAAAGAATAAAATTTGTTTTTAGTTATGACAAAGCAATAAAAAAATATAAATGGCACTTATATATTTTTTTTTAAAACCAAAACACTGAAACTATAATACTATTATTTAATAAAGAACATTTTTATCCTTTTTAATATAAACAATATATAGAAGAGTGTTCAATAAATAAGGAAACCCATTTTTATTGTTCTCATTGTTTGTAACAATTTACCTGTATCCTTACTTACTGAATATTCTATGATAAAGTCTTATAACAAAAAAAAAACTTATTTTTTCATAATAAAAAATAATTTGAAAATATTTTATTATCATTATGTGATATAGCTATTATCTATATATTTTTTGTATTAATATCATTATCTGATTTGGTTGGTATACGATAGCCTGATTGTTACAATAATGGTAACTTAACTTATTTTTGAAAATAAAAAAAAAGTGGTGAAAACATTTAAAATTACAATATAATTTATAAATATCTTTTTTTTTTCAATATTGCAATTAAATATTGCTAAAAATCAGTACGATATTGATGTCCAAAAATACATCGTTGACAAACCCTAATAATTATTATTTAGTTTCCTGTCAGGTAAAATTTTTTATAATAATTAATACAAAAAAATTATAATAAAGTATACAGAGTGGCTCAGCATTCATTGACAACTTGGATAAATTTTGATTCATTTAATTTTTTTGCTATTTTTTTTTTTAATAGTTAATATACTTGAGGGCTATGATAATGTATTTAATATCATTTTTATAATTAAATAAAAAAAAATGTATAAAAAATGTTAAAAAAAAAAAATTAAAATAGCCATTTTTTAGAATAGATTTTATAAAATAATTTTGTGAAAAAAAATCTCAATATTTAATAGTTAGTTTTCTGTAATGTTTTAAATTTTTCTATATATATTTTACGGTATCATATGCTGGCTATGTTTTATAAAAAAGGACAGAAGTAAACAATCTTTTCACACTAAATATGATATGAGTATAGATTTTTCTATGAAAATTATTAAAATTCTAATGACCAGCTTTAGTTCAAATAAAAACAGGAATAATAATACCTATTATTTAGTTTTATCTCTTTTGAGATAAAACTACTTATCTTACTTTTCTTCTGCCTTTGCCTCAACACGTATTGCAATGTTTAATACCGTAAAATAATACATGAAAATACAAATTTTCACAAACTTTAAAATGATACTGACTATTTACTACTGAATTTTAAATAAGATATTTTTTTATCAACATTTTTCTTAATATCATTTCTATAAAATAGCTATTTTGAATTTTCTTTTTTTACATTCTATTTAAAATTTAAAAATAATAAATATGTTGAATAAAATGTTAAAGTATAAATTATTGAAATATAATTATAGATCTGAACATATAACTGTTTTTTAAAAAAAAAGATGAGTAAAATATATTAACTAGATCAGAAATTATTTAAGTTGTCAGTGAATGCTGGGCCACCTTTATAAATTAAATGTTAATATAATGTTTTTGTAATAATATTGTACCTTTGTATTTTTTTTATATAAGTACTGAAAAACTGAATTAAATATTTTAAAAAATATCATTTAGCCCCTATCCAAGCTATTTGAGGTCGTTTTTACCTGATATTAATTTAATTAATTAATAGTATTTTTACACAAGCTGTTGATCTGATGCAACCTTATTATAGCTGAGAGAGTCAATGAGGGGCTAGGTGTGTGTTACTATTTAAGTTCCCACATGGTCATTCATCCAGGAACCAACAGCAAACAGCACAGCTGAACATCAGCGCTACTCATTGCAACTGAATGATAAACTGTACCACACCACACCCCTATTTAATAAATATAATACCTTTTATTTACTTTTTATTTTTCAACTATTAAATTTTAATACTAAATATATAATTACAAAAATTATTGTAAAATAAATTAATTTCATGTATAATTTAAAAGAGCAGTTTAACTGCAATGACATTCAATAAAAATTAGGATGCTATGGATAGAATTTCTATGATATATTAATTTAAATTTTATAATAAATATACATGTTATCAATTTATTACAATACCCAATAAATATTAATAAAACTATAAAAAGAGACTTTGAAATTCTACCTCCGATTGTTTTTGTATAAATCTCTTCGAGAAAGTAAATCTCCAAATGATAATGAACGTCTTAAGCTTTTGCCTTCTAAGTGATTGTAAATATCTTCACTAAAATCCAAATAATAACTATTTTTATGTAAATCACCAACTTTAAAAACTCCATCATCAAGTTTAATGCTACTACACCTAAAACATAATTATTATACATTTTTTTAATTGGCATCATATATTGCTATACAATTTAAATTTTATATAAAAATGTAATTATATAGCAATTAAAGTATTTGAGATCATTTTTTTTAAATGTTTTTCTTTATAGCTTTCAATACATAGTATTATTATAGCTTGACAATTATCTTTATCTTTTATTACTGTTAATATTTGTTTAAAAAAAATTTGTAGAAATAGTGCAACAAGTTTTGAGAGTACATAAGAATCAATTCAGAAATGGTGGGGTTCAAGGTCTAAAGCTGTCTGAATGTAGTCAACTTGTTCCTCTTTGAAACTATTTATATATTCTTTTTTCTTATGAAATCTAAAAGTGTAATCATACAATTTTTATTCATTTAACTATGAAGTGACATACTTTGAAAAAAGAATAGGAATATTCTTTGGATCATTTTCTTGAAATGTTTTTGAGGACATTGTTTTAGATTCACTTTCAGATTTAGTAATATCCCTTGATTTAGCAAAAGAAATTTCATCTAAAGACATCTGTAGTGCCATTTGTAGTTGACAATCATCATCAGTAGAATCATCTAAAAGATCTAAAAAAATATTTCAAGTTTAATACACAGTTTATTAGTTTCAAAAGGTAGTTATTTCCAATTGAACTTATTAAATAAGTTTAATAGTGCAATAATGAATTTTAAAATTGCAGCACCTGTACCCCTCAAAAAAAAGTACACCATATAAAATACGTGTGACTAAATTTATGCTAACTTAATAAAATATACTATACTTTATTATGTTAGAATCTTGACAAAAATCAATATTTAAAAAATAAAAATAGTTTAAAACCTAAAAAATTAATCATTTTGATTTTTAGACTATCCCGATTAGTGTTGGATAATGAACATGTAAATATATATATATATAGTGATTTATTAAAAACACTGCCACCAATTTCTTTTTTTATTTACTTATGATTTTTTTTCTTAAAAATGTATTGAATAAAATTGGATGGTAAATGAACTAAATAAAATTTAGAATGACCGATAACCAGTTTTATAATATTAATTTTTGAGATATTAGCATTACATATCACATACATAAGAAAATAAACTAGAAAACTTAAACATGACACAAACTTTTAGATAACAAATATGAAAAAAAAGACTTAATAATACTCAATCAGATGAAAATCAGACACTCATAGATAATTCACAAGTACCTATTAAATAAAAAGGAAAAGCACCCCTCTGTAGAACATTTAATGACTCATTAACCATTAAATATATAATTACTAATTGTACAAGAAAATTATCCACAAACTTAAAATTTTCCACTATCTAAAAGATGCTTTAAGTAGAAACAATGTAGCTCAAAAAAATTCTTTAATTCTTTAAAATAGCTAACCTATATAATACAATTTAAATGTATCAATGTAATATTAAAATATTATCAGCCGCCAATGATTTTGTAATCAAGACTTATATTTAATAACAATAATAAAAAAAAATTGATTACCAACATATCAAAATTAATTTATTGCACTCCTGAAAACTACCTTTAGAAATAATTTTTTTTTTACAATACTCTTAATGTTTATCATTTAATGTTCATAAAATAAATTAACTTTTATTCAATAGATTTTTATGAAAAACTATGGGGTAGTATTCTTCATATTTACAAAAAAAATTATTTTGAGACTAAATATTGCTAATTATTATGTTTTTAACATAATTTTTTAATACTTAACATTAATAGAAAATATTGGAAGTATATTCTCAACAAAACGTCCTAAATTAATATTAGTATACTACATTAGAAACTGATTTGGTTATTTTACCTGTATACTCCTTACTACATCCAGCTTCATATTCATTATATATTCTAAAAGATAAATTAATTATAAATAAAAAATTTATAAATATTTAAATAATTTTAATAAAAATCTAAAAATACTTTTTATTTTGCTGTGCAGCATCTTTTATCATTTGTAATCTTGACATTTCTAAGGCAACAATTAAATCCATTGCAAAAGTGCCAACAATACTAGTGCGTTTTTCTTTTTTTGCTGAAATTCAATAAATGTTGAAATATTTTAAATAAATAACCTTATTAATCTTAAATTTTAAATAGCATCAAATGAATAAATTTAATTACCTTCTTCTAGCAATGTTTTGTGACTATTTTTACATCTCAAACTACAATACTCATGAAATTTAGAAGTTCGAGGATTTCTCACTCTTGCCTTATTACAATTTTCCATTTTACATTGACCAAAAACACTTACAGCCAAAGCTCTATCTAATTCCGTTTCCTAATATATAACACATATTAAATTGTAAACAAATAGTAAGCACTCACAATAATATATATATATATTATTAATTAAAATGTATTTCATAATTAAAACATTTCAAAAACAACCTAACCAATACTATATAAATAAGGATTTCACTTAGTTTATTTTTTCCTTTAAAGAAAAAAAAGACTGCTGAAAATAAATTAAATAAGTTATTTGGAGAAGGGAACATGTCCAGAACAACATAATCACTATTATGTTCTATATTATTTATTAAGTAAAATTAATATCTTTTAAAAATATTTTTAACTTAAGGTAAAATTTAATTAAAGTATTTGATGATATAAAATAATGATAAATTTATTATTTTATTATTATTATTATTTAAATAATAATCAAAATCCTATAAAAATGGTGCTATACCATGAACACTCGATAATAAGTGATATTTCTTTATTTTAAACCAACCTCTTCTTCATCAGAACAACTTTCTGGCCAATCTAATATGGCAGTAAGATTTCTGTGACGTCCTTTTGAATCAATAATCCATGGGTTATCAGGATCAATTTGAATAGAATCCCCAATTGCTTTTTTCAATAAATCCTAGATAAATAGTTATAAATATTTTCATCTAAAATCTACATCATTAAAATTACCTTAGCAGTAGCATTCATATGTTTCTGAGAAATTGAATTTGATTTAGTTTTGTTAGAATTTTGTGGTAAAGTCTGCATAATTTCCAACGATATAGATCCATCTGATATGGCATTAATAAATTCATGGCGTTTACGCCTTAAAATACATGTAGTATTAATAATTGCACTTCTTGGATTACATAAGTACTGACGTAATACCATTCCAGCTAATTTTTCAGTTACATCTTCGACCTCATTCTAAATTAAAAAACAATTTCAGGAAAACTTTAAAAAATTAAGTTTTTGGAAAATCATACTATTTATTAATACCTGCATAAATTCTAATATATTTTTATTATAAGCACTATTTTGCATGTAAAAACCATAAACATATGAAGCACATAAAACACGTTTTGCTTTTTGAACTTCAACTACTGCATCTTCAACAAATTTAGTTCGCTCATCATCTTAATATACACAAATAAAAAATAGTTTGTTTAGTAAATAAAAAACATAAAAATCATATTTAAGTATTATATTAAACAAATGAATTTAATTAAAGTTATACCTTCAGGAATATTTAATGCTATAGCAAGAGCTGCTCTACGTTTTTTAACAATTTCGACAAATAATTCTTCCATATGTCTAGTAACTTCATGCTTCTTGAACTTAGTGTAAAAGTGAAGAAATTTACTAAGTTCTAAACTTTGTTTATTTTTTTGTTGTGCCTTAAATATTAACATAAAGTGTTTGTTCAAAAAATTATTTGTTTTACAAACCTTAAATACATATATTATTTTCATGAAATAAATAATCTTATCTAGAAGTGTACAGGGTCTCTACAAAGGAAAAGGGGAATTAATTAACCTATTTTGAGCTTGTTTATTAGTCTGGTGTTGAGGAACAAAATTTAATGTAGAGAGCTTGAATCATGTAAATATAGTTTTCATATTCTGGAATTGATGTGCACTTCCAAAAGTTTGGAGACACTGAAATAAGATGTATTTCTCATGTATATGGGAATTTTTATAATTTAATTGTTTACTTATTTGAAACATAGTACAATAATAAAAAAATTATATATAGTGTGTCTAAACATGTTGTTTCTAAACTTTTGGGTGATACACAGAAGTGTGAACTAGAAAATCAGGACATTTTATATTTATGTTAAAATTACATTTATTCTCATCTCATTTATAGCTTTTAGTATTAACAGTTGTTTATGGTATAATTATTTTTAATTGACAAAGTTTATAATTTTTATAATAATGTTTTTAAATTAAAAAATATTTTTATTTATATCTAAAAATTTCTGGTTCTAAACTTACTGATTATTCAGTTTTATTTAATGAAATTTTAAAATGTACTATCAAGAATTTTCAGAAAAGGCAGTTTAACGTTTAGAGTTTATAAAGGAGCAACTGAAAGTATTAATAAAGAAGATAACATAATTAATACTGAAATTGAATCACTAGTATATAACTAGTATGATACAATTGATGTAAAACATCCATGACAGATGAGAAGGTATGTATTGCACCAATTAAACTTTAGCTGCTCATTGTTGTTTCATATGTAACGCTAGCCAACTGAAATGAACAATTTAGATCTTATAAATCATAAAGTTAGTAAATTAAACAATTTAAGTATAGTTTATTATTATTACATTCATGGATTAGGTGTAACAAATGTCTTTTAAACATTTTATACAATTTAGTAATCTAATAAAATGTTTAGCCACATCAATTAAACAGAAAAAATTCAAAAGTTCAACAATAAAAATTATACAAGAAACGTTTAAAAAAAAAAATCTTAAGCCCTTAATTTTTATGGTGATGGATGAAAGTACTAGAGAAATACAAGGAGAGGAACCATGGAACATATTTTTCATTGACAATATAATGTTAATAGGAGAAAATAGAGGGAATTAATCAAATGTTAGAGGTGTGGAGATCAGCTCTTGAATTAAAGGAATTAAGAATAAGAATTATAGAGTATGAGTTTGACAAAAGGAGAATACGTGATAGGTTGAATGAAGATATCAGTAACAATAAGCAAGAACCTGATAGGAGAGGTGGAAAGTTTTAAGTATTTAGGACAGTTGTGTAAAAGAACAGCAGTATTAATGAGAATGTAAGACACAAGTTTATGTTCAGACAAGTGAAGTAAAGAAAAGCATCTAATGTGTTATGTAATAGTGAAATTCCAATGAGGCTGAAAGATAAGTTCTATAAGACTGTAGTGAGACCAACTATTAATAAGTTATTGGGCAGTTGACAAAAGAATAGAGCAGAGAATTAGTGTAGCAGAGATGACAATGCTAAGATGAATTCATTATGAGAACGGCTGATGTGCGCGTAGATGATGTGGAAGGTCATGTCAAATGAAAGTTTAGGATAAGAGTGGCGAACCCCAAATAGTTGGGATAAAGACGAGGAAAATGAAGAAATATAAAATAATAATATTTTTAATATAGTTTTAATTTAATTTATTTAATTTTTAAAAATTATTTAAGAAAAAACTTTTTAAACATTTATTACAAATTACATATGATATTAATGCTATAAAATATCTTTAAAGCAATTTAAGAATATTATATATTTTTATCAAGTTAGAATAGTTTTATTGATGACAAGAAATGAAACTTTTATTAAATTAAAAAAATACATTAAGGTAACTGTTTCTAAATTAATATTTTTAACAAAACATAACAATTTGATGAAGATTAGCTATTTACTTAAATTAGTTAAAATACCATTAATGAGCATCAATCAAAAATTTATTATTATATACCTAAATATAGTATCTATAAAATTTTAACTTTATACAACTTGATTAATAGAAGGTGCATAAAGCTCAAAGTTTTGGAATAATATGAAAAATTGTACTTAATTGCATTTCTAAGGTACAATTTTCATCTTATGGAATATATTGTAATAACTAAAATTATAAACATTACAATTTTCTATAAAAAGTTATTTTTACAATTTTTTGTAAAGTGAATACTTTGTGGTTCAAATATAAAAAATTAGATTGTGCAAGTATAAGTTTAGGATAAGGATGGGCGATCCCAAAAAGTTGGGATTAAGATGAGAAAAAAGAAGATACAAGAAGAAGTTTAATACATGTTATCAAGAAAAAAAATAAAATCGACACTCCTATAAAACATAAAGAATAAACCTATAAATTATTTTATAACAAATAAATGGAAATACATAAGTAACTAATAAAATCCAAAAATTTTTTTAAAAACTTTAAGAAAAAAATTTTTTTAAAGAGAAATTGAGAGGCTAGAGATAAAAGAATTATCTTGTATAACATCTTTAGAACATAAATTAATGATACGTTATTCTCAAATTATTCAATATGCTACACTACCAATTAGTAAATTGTCAGGGACAGTCTCAAGGGACAGAATAGATTTCGAAGAGTACAAGGAGTGTAACTTAAGAACATATTTTTTTAATGCTTCAAATGAATAATTAACTTATATTAATAATTAAACCAAAAATGATAATAAAAAAAAACCAAAAATTATGTTTCCAAAAGTATTGAAACTTTTAGAAGACAACTTTGACAGGTCAGATGCATTGGGATACAATTTCTAAATTTAATGTTGAATTTACTTCAACGTTTATTAATATTAAAGGTTTATATGAGAACCAAAGTAGAAAAATTGACTGTGAAGGTATGAATGTTGATATCTAATATTCATATTTTACTGTATACTACAATGTAAACTATAATAACTTTTTTCTTTAAAATATTATTAATTATACCTTAAAATTCAATTTTGATAATATATGGTAAATTTTTATTTTATTTTATGATAACTATCAATAATAAACTGTAGTGAAATATATAATTTACAGAAATCTAAGAGAATGTCTAAAAGTTTCTATTAATCACTTCACTGAATGACAGTGTATATTTATGGTTATATTTACCTCTTTTAATAAAAGTCCTCTTCGTTCATCAGCTTTACATGCAGCAGTGGCACGATTGCATCGGAAGAAACCACCTGTAGCTGATCCATGTTTTTTCCAGCTATCTTGACATACCCAACAAAATTCAAATTTACACTACAAACAAAAGAAAAATATACAAATTATAATATTATGTTTCTTAATACTTGTTTTACTAAAATAATAATATTACATTAACTTATAATTTATTTTGGCTTAGTGTATAATAATAATAATTTCAGTAATAGATAATATTAATTAACATTAGTGTATTTGATTGAAATGTTTTACCTCTTTCAAGGTTTATCTCTAACACTATTAACCCAAAAAATTGGAAATTTTAACAAAAGAAACAACATTTTTATGAATGTTTACTAATTTTTCCATTAAAAATTAAGCTGAAGTATTCAAAAATAAATTTAAATTACTTTGGTACACTTCATATGATTACAGCCTTCATTTTTTTGAATTGGAGAGTTGCAATTTGGACATGGTTTAGAATTAGTTACAAGCCATAAACTATTAGCAGCTTCTTCATATTCAGCGGTGGTTTCTCGAATTTTTTCTGGTTTTATTTCTGATATTTTTGTCATCCACTGAGACCATTGATCACAACTACAAGGTGTGTGTGCATCTCCCATGCATTCCCTTTGATAATAAGAAAAAATCATGAAAATGTTTAGAAAAAATTAACTATTGAAATATTTTACCAGCAAAAATAATGCCCACGACCACAATCAACTGAGCGTGCTATTTTTGAACTATTTTTTGACTTTTTTGCATTTATTGGGAGTCGTACTGCAAGACCGCATTTTGGAACAGGACACCATTTAATGGATCGATTATTTTCAACAAATGCCTTAAACATTATGTCATTAGAGAATATTAAAATTGTATATTTTATTAACTTACTTCAATATTGAGGTCAAAATATCTCCGAGCCATTTCAGGACTTACAACTTTTTCGATTAACTCAGTTGGAACAAGGATATGGCAGTGTAAAGCTGGGCAAAATATATTACTTGAATCTTTCCTTTTAATTTTATAAGTTAAGTATTGTTTCCAACATGAATTACAAAACATATGTTCACAATAAAGCTTTATTGGACAGTCAGAATTTGGCAGTTCATTCAAACAAATATCACACTAAAAACACCATACATCAGAGTTGCTTCCATAGTATTTAAATTTTGATAAAATATAAAAACAATCATTATACACTAACTTATTATTAACTTACTATAGTTAGATAAGTATTGTTAAGTTGAGCATCTTCTACATTTAAATGAGTTTGTTGCATTTCATTTAAGTAGATTGTTTTAGATGATTGCACAGAAATAGGAACTTGAACACCAGCAATTTGACAACATTTATCAGGATCCCTTACCCATCTTTCAAGTAATATTTCTCTAGACCACTCTATAAATAAACTAAAAGTAAGAAAATATTTATGAAATTTTCTATTCTACTTAACCATTATTTCTAAGAAGAGCTTCTGCAGTAAATAATGGTAAGTTTAACATATCAGCTGTTTCAACAAGTAATTGGTCTTTAGCTTCTTGCAAGTCTTGAGTGCGTAACCCAACATATGTTTCCTCTTCTCCAAAATCGTATTCATCAACTGCAGATAAAATATCTTTTAAGTCTTCACCCTAAAAAAAATTAAAAACTAGTTAAATATCCAACATGTAATATTATATTAAATACTAGTCAAAAAGATTCATTTGCAAACTATTTCCATATAAATTTAAAAACGCTTAAATAATTACTTTTTAAGTTTTTATATTTTATGGTTTGCATGGTCGATCATAAATAAAATAAAATAAAAATTAAAAATATTTTAAAGTAAATTTATTGCTATATAGATATCAATATGAACTCAACTATAGAACCTTTAAATAAATAATATCTTCTTGATCTAACTATAGTTAAACAGCATCTACTTACAAAAACCATTCGAGATTCTAATTTTCGAGCTAAAGTTTCATGGCCATTTTTCACTGCTAAATCACAAGCAGTTAATTTGAGGTTATTTGTTTTAAAAATTGGAGCCCCACCATTTGCAAGTATTAAGTCAACACAGTACTGTAAGCCTGAGGCAGCAGCAAGATGAAGAGCAGTATTTCCGTCCTAACAAATATAAGTAATTAAAACACTTTAAAAAATTAATTACAGGGAGAACTAACAATATCTTGAGCACACAATTTTATTTTCTCCCTACGTCCATCAGACAGTTTGTTTCCTTGCCAATTCAATAACAGAGTAACACAAGCAGCTCGACGATCATGAGCGGAATATGAACTTTGAGGAGACAGAGAACAAACTGCGTGAAGTGCTGTTTCATTAATATTATTTATTTTGTTTGGATTTCCATTATGTTCATTTAAAAATGCTCTAGAATATTAAAACATATAGTTAATAAAAAATAAAATCTGGTATTTTTTTTTTTTAAGACAATCACTGGAACAATTTTATTTTATTAAATAGAATATTTTGATAATAGTATAGAAACTTTCAACACTATCTAAATAAAACAAATATAAAGTCAATTGTTCACTTTTTTTTATTGTTTTATCATATGATGAAGTTTACATTTTTCTACATATTTTGGATTTAGGAAAAATAATTTCAAGACAAATACTTTAAAGTAATGATCAAAATAAATAAGAATTTTTCTACAATATAAATTCATTAAAATTTTTAATGAACTCTTTAAAAATTATATTATTAATCAAGTTAAACCATTTTTTTGCTGAAACTATGATATATGATGTTATACAACAAAAACCAAGAACAGGGGGACCTAGCAATGTGAAGTCCTGATATAATAGAACCTAGTAATAATTGAAATCTGATAGTGATATATTAATTACTATCATAAAACAATTTTTTGGCTAAAATCTCTTAAAATCATTTGTTATTGGTCGGTGATACAAAGGAAAACTAAGAATAGATTTTCAACTGAATAGAAAAAAATATTAATAACAAAATTTTTTTTTATTAATTTGTACATTTTGAATTTGGTTGCACTGTTTTATCTTTAAAAGCATTTATTTAAAAAAAAATCAGTTAACATTCACATAAATTTTTGGAAAAATTCATTTTTTTTTAAATAAACCACAGAGTATAAGGGCATAAATTTTTAATTTAGCTTAAATATTAGTTTAGCTAATTAACTGAAAAAAGCTAAGTCATATCAATGGAAAATTAGACTTGTTATATTAAAAAATTTATTAGAAAAATAATTAACCAGTTAAGTTGAAAAATTAAAAAAATTAACTTTTTAACTAGTTAATGCCCATCATTGATACTTATTAGATGTTTACTAATTTATAAAACTCTTCCAAAAAATATATAAATTCATAATTGCAATATTTTTATGGGGGCTATTTTTAAAAATGAGGAATACTAGCCCCAATCTCCTTTATGTCTTTACTATTTAAGTTAAAATATAAGCACTATAATTAAATGAATATACATAGAAAATTTCTGATTATTTAAATAGTTATATTTGAAAAAAAAAAATTAGAATAGTTGGTATGATACATAAAGTAAGTTTTATGATATGATAATTATATAATAATTTAGCATTATATAGGATAAATTGAATAAATGAAGTCATTGTTTTTTTTTTTTTTTTTTTTTAGAAATATACAATCTGTACAATGAGCACAATAAGCATATATGATAAGAGTAGAAAAATTTACATGAATACATTTTGATGGAAGAAACCACTCATTAGTGACACTTCCCATGTTTTTTAATTTTTTATTTTCTTAGAATTTTTATTTTATATTTCCAATGACTTAATTATATTATTATTAATTGATATTAGTAGAAAGAAGATCACGCCACCACTTACGTTTTAAACGTCTGGGTGGGTCTCCAGGTATGGACAAGGTTGAGAGGTTTTTTATTAGGGGATTAGAGTGGGAGAGTAATTTACTGTGGAATCTTTTATAGTAGGAAATGGCTTCTTCATGACTGTTTTTTAAGTTGAGATCGTTATGAAGTGTATAATTAGAGATATAAGGAGGTGCATTGATTAGTTTTCTTAAGGCAATATTCTGAAAGCATTGAATTTTATTGGTATTGGATTTTTTAGCATTGCCCCATAACTAAAGGCCGTAAGTCCATATGGGTTTTAAAAGGGATTTATAAATTAAAAGTTTAACATTAATGTTTGTAAATTTATTGTTTGTAATTAATGATTTGAGTAACCGCAGACGGCTATTTAAAGACGAGCGTTTATTTTTAATGTGCTGAGCCCACGTGAGCCGATTATCTAGTGTAAGTCCGAGATACTTGACAGAGGAATAGGAGGGGATTTGTACTCCATATAGGAAGACACCAGGACAAGGGAGAAGTCTTAAAGTAAAGGTAAATGAAGTCATTGTAAATATACTTTTTTAAAGTAAATCCAATGTTAACATAATTTTAATGTTTTTAATGTTTCTCTAGATAATTTTTTAAATGAATTTCATACCTGTCCTTTAAAGCATAAGTATACATTATTTATGTAGGATGTGTGAGTTATTAACTTATTTATTTGTTTACCAACTAGAATTTTCAAATTAGATAGAGATTGAACCATCAAAACATCTCTTAATCTACCCTCTATCTAGTTAAATAAAAAACTTACAAAAAGGAACACCAAAAGTTATAATACAAAAAGAAGCCATATCAAATAATAGATATAATCAAAATTTTAAAACCCAGGCAAAATGATCAAAATTCCTAATTTTTCAATGATTTTCAACCAACTATATAGATAATTCAATATATATATTGATATCAAGGAATAGAATTTTTCTATTATTAGAATTTTCTAAAGTAATATCTACAAAAAATTCTAAACTGGATAACAAATCTACAATAACTCTAAATTATAATCTTTAATTTAAATTTACTCTACTTCAATCTCTAATAAATCATTAGAGACATAATGAATGTATTAAAGTTTTCATGGATTGTTGAATTATTAAAAATATTTACAGATTCTTATAATATTATAAATAATTAAAGATCTTGTTTTATAGATTAAATTTTTTTTTTTACGAAAAATAATTATTTTTGAATATAAGATTTATTAATTGTTTATTAATAATATTTTTTTTTTCAATAAATACGGAGGATTTATGAAAAAAAAACACTTAGCTAATTTGTTGCATCTTTGAAATTTAATTATGCCATATTTAAATTTATGCTATAGATTTAAATCTTGATTAAGATAGATTTCAATAAAAATACTGATGAATGTAATTGTTTGAAAAATTTTTCTACAGAATTAAAATTTTTTATTTAACATATTGAATAATAAAATTGCAAGACTTGAAATTAAATACTTAAATATTTTTACCTTAATAAATGTTTCATTCCATGTTTAGCTGCATAGTGTAATAGAGTATTGTTGTTATGGTTTTCACCATAACTTAAATTAGGGTCTAAAGTTTTCAGCTCTGGAGAGTTTGAATACATCTAAGAAATTAATGTTTAAACATATTAATATTTATATTAAAGTATAATCATTTATAGTTCATTTACCCGCATAGCAGCATACTCATCTCCTCGCTGTAGATGTTTTTTAAATTTGGTAGAAGAACCACCCATATTATGTCTTTCAATATTTGTATCATTTCTTTTTAACTTTTCATTTGTGTACGCTACAAATTTTTACTTGAACAATACATCCTGTGAGTTTCATAATTTTATTTCTCATGAGGTAGAAATACAATAATACAAAAGTTGGACTATGAATAATCTTCTCAAATTCATAATAATATAATTAATAATTAAAATATATTATTTATCATTAATGACATTAATAGATCTAAATGTATATCCTAAACTATAAAAGATTTTTCCAAGATAGAAAACTGAAATTAAAAATTTTTTTTTTTTTAATTATACTAAGACACTGTTGAGATTAATTGGTGATACATAAATGGCTATCTCCAAATTAAAGTTATTTAAAATTTATTACATATTTTAAGAATAGTACTCGCAGAATTAATCCATGACATATAAATTCACAACTTGGAATAAAATCTCTAAATTTGTAGATTATATTTTCTCATACAAGTCTATGACTACTAATTCTTATTTGTTTTAAAGTAACATTTTATCTTTTAAAAATATTTGAATGCATTAATAAATATAGATAATACAAAAAAATTGACCTAGTATAGAAATTTAGTGTCAAAAATAGGTTATCTTTATGAATGTTTTTATTAACTGAATTTTAATTCAGTTAACTAATATAGAATATATGCATGGAAAATATTATTAAAGAACTATAAGAACGTTTGATTTTAACTATCATTCATTAAATTAAAATAAATATAAATTTTTATAATTCAAATTTTTCCTTGATTCTCACCGATTTGACCTTAATTACAACTATTCAAAATTTAGCTTCATTCTAGAACTTAATCCTAGGTGCCACACAATCCAAATCTGACCCCCGAGTATAAAATTAGGCCACCAAAAATATTTAACACCAAAGCTTTTTTTAATTTTAGTATTGTTATTGTTTCTGTATATCTAGAGAAATTTGCTTGATTGTTTGTGTGTAAAACTAATTGGATATCAAAGAATACTAAATTTCAAAAAAAGTGGCTCAGAATAAATGTTGCATTTTACTTTTTATTTAAGTATATCTTTTATTTATTGAAATAAATCATATTTATGTGATATTCATTTTTAATTTTAATATATTTATTGGCTATAAATTGTTTTTTTTTCTGGTTCTCAAATAATTTTTTTAACATAAAAATTAATTGCCTACCCTGGTTTTATTTGTAATAATTTATATTTTCCAATTAAAATGGATTAGCAAAAACTTAATAAAATAAAGAATAACACTGAACAAATTATAGCAAAAATATTAAGATAAATAATTGTTAAACTTTCAACATTATTTTACATCATTTAAGAAAATAAGGGTGCAATATTACACATTAACTATATTAGTTTTTTTTTTTTGTCACAAGTATATTAGTATATACTTGTAATATATAAAGCAAGATATATTTATCTTGCTTTAAAAGGCAATTAAAATTTTAAGGAGAAAGTTAATTTGCACACTATATTTGCATTATAATTTTGTTAAAATAATTAATTCTATTTTGTAGCCAGATTAAAAAAGAAACACAACACTTCAATTATTTAATAAATTATTAAAAAAGAAAAAACTTCAAAGACAAGGTTTCAAATCATATTTTAGAATAAAGAAATTATTTCTCCTATCTAATATTCAATATACATAGAAAATGAGTTTAGTGTAACACATAAAATAAATGAACCGTATAAAATGAAAGTAGCTAAAGAAAGCAAAATAAATTGACACCATTTCTTGATACACCTGAAATCTTTAGTTTAAATAGATTGTAATATATTATGCCAAACAGCTCCTCTAATATTTTCAAATTATAATAATAGTAATATAACATAAACAATTGCATATAACTATTAAATAAAAAATAAAGTCTTAAAATAATGGTTTTAAAAGTAAGTAAATGATTATTGTAACTTTTTTAACAAGAAAAATTAATTATAAATAAATTGAAAACTTAATTTAAACTCTGATAAAATGACATATAAAAATGTTTAACTAATGGTAATCTTTCTAAAAATTATTAATTAATTTTGTTGTTAATAAATAAGATAATAATAATTTAAAACCATTTATAAAAAAAAATTGTTATCAGAGTATTATAATTTTCTTATGAAGTTTTAATGAACAGCTATAATCAATTTTAAACAAAGTTGTCATTATATATTATAAACTTTTCTTAATTTATATAATTAATAATTTGCTATTTAAATAACAGCAATTAGTATTTATTAATAAATCTACCTCTTTTTTAGGTCTTCATTATTGTTTATATAATAATACTATCATCAAAATGCTATGGAGAAAATGAACAACCAGATATAAGTCAACCGAATAGTGATGAACAAATATATTCAAATCATAAGTACTTTGATCTTAACTCCATTGATTCCATACAAAAATGTAATTACAAATTCAAGTGAAAAAATCAATATAATTACTATAACCAGAATATTTTCTTTACCACAATATCATTTTGTTTTTCACATTAAAATATAAAAATATGAAATAAAATTTTAATTATTAAATAATGCAGGGGGAAATTAATTTTAATATAGATTTTTACTTAAAAAAATTACATAAAAAATTATCTAATACTTATTTGGTATCAATTAGTACATCAACTAATATCAAATATAATAATTAACTCATATAAAAAATACTAATAACACATATTTTTATTTACAAACATTTTTTTTAACCAAATTAATATTTGAGTTTGATACTAATATTAGATAAGACTCTACAAATAATGATTTGGCCTATCTTTAATAGTTTAATAGATATTTATATTATATTCCAAATTAATTTGAAGTATTTTTAAAAAGACGAGCCAGGAAGAGTTCAAATTAAAGTTTATAGAGGGCCAGATATGTACTACAATGACGAGAAATTTGCAGCTCATGGTTATTGGGTGAAACAACCATCAGAGGACTACTAAATGAATGATTTGGTGTTAGTTGCTAAGATCATAAACAATATTTAACAACATAATTTTTTTTAATTAAAAAATAATATAATAATTAATAAAATAAATTCTTACCTTTAAGCTGTGTTGATTTTTACTGTAATGATATTGTATTTTACTTAATAAATATTTTTAAATAGTTCACTATAATTTCGTAATTTAACTACGAAATTATAATTGATGTATAAAACTGCCAGCTTCATTTTTTAGAATCTATCTCAGTATTATATAATAACACTCAACATCTTTCAAGCGTTTTAAATAAGTATACAAAGACAAAAGATATCTGATGTTACAATTTTATCAAAACAAAAACAATTCATATATCTAAATATAAGAACATTGCGCCCGCGCGCGAAATATTACTTTGAATAAATAATTATAAATGATAAAAAACTATGATAAAGTGATAATTTTGATCAAGCTTCAAAATATATATTTCATTTTTTTATCTATTTTGAAGTTTAACAGACTTCTTGAAAATAAATTTTATAACATTTAGTGTTATTAATAATATATATATTACATTATTATGCTTTTAAAGTTAATAAAATATTAAACCTAACTATACCTTTGAAATTATCTGAGTATTTTTTTTTTTGAAAAGCCATTAGCTATTCTTGTTTATACTAACAAATTTAATTAAATTTGAAATTTAATTTTATCACTATGGCATTGTGTGTGGCTGTCGTGAGTAAAGAAGTATGTATTTATGTGTTAGAATTTATGAGATATTTAACTGGATAACAATTATTTTAGAATGCTCCTAAATATGTGGCTTCATTAAATCCAGATGATGAATTAGAAATTCAATATGAAATACATTCGTCAATAGATTTTGTGGAAGAAAAATTAAAAACTGGTAAAAAAGATATGCGGGAGTTATACTTGGGATTGTTATATTCTACTGAAAATCACAAAATGTATCCTGTTTTCTTTCATACTTTTTTATGTTTATTAATAACTTTAATTATAAGTTTACTTAGTAACTTCAAAACAAATAACTTTTTGATTAACAATTTTTTTTAAAAAAATGGTAATATTTAATTGAAACTATTAAAACTGAATAAATATTGAAATTTCTGTGACAACATAAAAGTAGCAGGTTATTTTACATAATTTTGTACATGTATGAATTACTTGTCTTTGTCTAGTTGGGCCTCCCTTCCAAGATCTGAGAACTTGATTAAATATGCAGACAGACTTTAAATCATTAGACCTACTATTAGATAATTATTAATGTACTTTTTAGTAATAATTTTATAAGACAAAAATTCTAAAAAACACATGAAATTTTGTTATTTTTTTTCTACTGTGTTGTATGAAAAACAAACTGAAATTGTTTTTTCTTGAAATTAAAAAAAAGTCATTGTACCAATTAGTAGTTTTAAGTTGAAATTAGTAAATCTTTTCTTAATATCTATCAGTTATGGATATGTAACAAACACTAAAGTCAAATTTTTTGTTGTTATTGATGCAAGTAATCTAACACTTAGAGATAATGAAATAAGATTTGTAAGTACTAAAAATGATATTTATTGTAACATTTTTGGCATTGACACTTATTTTATTTTAATTATGACATTTTTAGATGTTTAGAAAATTGCATACTGCATACACAGATTTAATGTGTAACCCATTTTATATTCCTGGTGAATATATTACTTCAGAGTAAGTTTAGAATAATAAAAGTGCTACCTTAAAAATTTTAATAAATTATAAATTCAGACATGTTTTTAAATGAATAATGTTCAATAATTTAAATTAATAATATTTTTATAAATTAGAATTAAAATAGTATTTTTATATTTAATAAATTTATCTGTAATAATAAACAATTATAGATAAATTTAAATTTTTATTAGTAGTCCTAATACTGATATGAAGAATTCCTTTATTAAACCTTTATACAAGGACACTGTGAGCTATAATTTAAAAAAAAAGATTAAAAGTCATAAAGCTTAAATTTTAATAGAAAATTATATTCAAAATTATTAAAATTCAAAATAATAATGTAATAATATTTTTTAATTTTATAAGTTTTATTGTTCATAATTATATACACTTGAAATTTTTTATTAATGACACTATTATAATTGTTTAAAATGTTTGAATGTAACAGGTTATTCGAAAAGTCCTAAAATTAACAAATAAAAACACATTTTTTTCCCAAAATTTAATTTTATTCATCGATATAATTCCCTTTTAGAGTTATACAGTGTTACTAGAGTTTTAACATTTCTATACCTTTCGAATAGAATTATTTATCTTTGCCCTTAAAATACCCCCTAATATGACTTCTTCATTTGAGCTGAATCTTTTTCCCTAGAGCATCCGCATAAAAATTTGCAAAAAGGTAGTAATCGCTGGGGCCCAGATCTGGACTATACAGTGAATATGGCAGAAATTAAAAGCCTGAATACATTTTTGATATTGTTTTTTATTGTTTGTGATACAGTAGTGCATTGTCGTGTTGATGAAACAGAATTTTTTCTTCGCCATGTGCAGTATATTTTTGCGATTTCGGCCTTCAAACGCTCCAATAACACAATTTAGTTAGATTTCTGTACAGTCTTAAGGTTTTATCAAGTTGACATGATCAGTAAGCCATTTAAAAAAGCTCTTTGAGGCAGCACTAAACACAAGTGCTCCATCAATGAGTCTTTTTTTCACTTCCTACTTTTTTTTCAAGACGAATTCAGCAAACGCTTGAACAAACCTACATGACTCCCAGCTCCCTAACATCATGTCCAACATGGTTCCGACTCAGAATGTAAACCCTAGTTGGGACTCTTTGGAGTCTCGCTTCTGTACCCACGCCTTGCACCTGAAGAGAGTGTGCAAGGGCGCTGTCTGCCTCTCCCGGGCGATTTGAACAATGATCGCACGTTGGTGTGGCTACTTTGCAAATACTGTGCAGGTACTCAACATGCTGTGGTCGGACATCACTTGTGTAAGACAAAATGTCATCTCACCATAAGTCCAATCTACCCCCATCAATGGGTCTGGTATCTTCAAACCTTGTTATGTCAGTTTCATCACTACCCAACAGTCAAGTCTCCAACACAAAATTCAATGAGTAGCCGCTGTTCTATGGTCAGCTTATTAGTGGGGCCTGCAAAGACCAGAGCCACTTTTTTGGCATTGGTTACCATATCCCTATAGGTCAGTAGATCCAATGAGTCTTCTTACATGGAGGTTCTTGTCCCTTGACCTCAGGTTTTTGAGTTTCGGTTCCCTTTGACTATTCCAAGTCATTGATTTCCTTGTGTCTATCCTTTGGTAGGTTCTTCTGCTCCTCATCAGTTTGCCCCTCTGACTGCTGCTCAATCTCTCAGTTCTAATTTTTAGACCTTCGATTTTGTCAGCTATTACTCCCAGTTTATCTTATAACTTCTAGTCTGCATTTGTTGACGTTGCTGTTTCTTTGCCAGTAGATAATTCACTAAGTGCCCTGTTGTTTGCATTGAGACTCTCAAGTTCGATAAATCTTCTGCGAAGAGCCGCCAATTCATGCTTTTATTCCGACAAATTGTCCGTAGAATCCCTGTTCGTTTATTCTTCTTAAATAGTTCAAAACAGCTCTGTGAATCATCGGCACATTGTTTTTTTTTTCGGTCCACTGTTAGCAAATACGGTACCCATTTTGAGCATAGCTTTCTTATACTTAAATGTTTAAAATAAATATGATGCAAACGGTCAATTGAGATTTTTATAATGTCAGCTATTTACTTTATGATTTTCCAACATAATTTTTTGGATTTTTTTTATGTTTTCTATCGTAACTGCTTCACTTAGGCGTCTTGAGCATTCAAATGTGTCTGTACGACCGCGTTTAAATTAAAAAAATCAGCGATAAATAGTTGTTTTCTTTGGAACAGAGTCCTTATAATACTTTTCAAGCCATTCTTGAGTTTTCACAGTATTTTTTCCCATCAAATAGCAGTGTTTAATCAACATACGAAATTCGTTTTTATCCATTGTTTACAAAATAACTAAAGTAGCTTCACTTCAATGATTGTAACCTTGGAATGCGTTGTTCAAATGTCATGAAATTTTGACACGTTTCTTTTGAATGTTGGTACTAACTAAAAAACATAGAGATGAGTTATTAAAGTCGCCATCTATGTATAAGTCTCGTAACATTTTGAACAACCCTTTATATAATATTTAAACTTAATTAATTTCTTTACAAGTCTTATTAGTAATTTTTACACTAACTTCAAAGTAGGATTTGCTCTTGTACTTTGATATAATTTATCAAAATCAAACTTAAAACAATAATATAATTTATAAATATTTTTTACGTCTGTACCAGTATTTTTATTAATAACATTATAAATGTAATTTACATTCTTATAACTGTTTTTTAGAAATTTTGACAAGATAGCAAAAGGAATATTAATGGGTAAAACATGAATTTTCTTTCCAACCTTAAAATGTACTTATACTTAATACCATGTTATCTTATATTAATATATTCTCTTATTGTTATTTATATTATATTTAAATTATATTAATATAAAGTATAAATATAATTGTTTTAAATAAATCAGATATTTAATGTGGCATGAAATATAACTACCTACTGTTAAATTCAAAATTTAATTAATTTGTTTGTTCCCCAGTTATTTTACTACAATTTTATTATTAAAATATATTCACTTATAATTGTATACTTACTACACTTATTTCTTATATTTTAGTTCTAATATTCTCTAATTGACAATCATTTGCCGGAACATTTGGTGGGATAAGGGCTAAAATTAAGATTTAATTACAAAAGAAATATTTTTTTATTTGCTTAAGTTTGTATTTTTTATGAATTATGATGAATTTTAAAGGAGCTTCATCTTCTTAATGTCCACCTACGTCAACATCCAATAAGACCTCTACATTTTATATGCAAACAAAAATAAAAGAATAATCTGCCGTCATACATGTCAAAAATATTTACTTATATCAGTAAATTATAATGATAATTTATTAAATTAAATTATTGATAAAATTTTTTTATTATTAGTAATTATTTGATTATGCAGTTTCAAATAAATAAATATATTTAAATATATGTCAAATAAAAGAATGCATACTAATCAATAATTTAATGTGTCTATAGATTGAAGTAAGATTTGTTAATTTTAAACTTGCCTTTCGATTTTACTAATTACCATTCTGATTAAACCTTTTCAAGAAATTTGGAAGTTCAAATAAATTTTAAAAAACTTCCAATTAAATTTCTTTTTTTAATATTTGCACCTCTGCTAATTTCATGCTTTATTGGTTTTAAATAAATTTTTTTTTCTTTCTTTTAAATATGCTTATTTTTTTTGAATGTGAAAATGTAAATCATAGAAGAGGACCGTCATTTCTATTGCAATTTTTTAAGTGACAAATAAAAAAAAATTTCATAAAATAACATGAAATATATAGATGAGAAGTGTGATAGCCTTTTTTGGTTGACATGTAGCATATTCGGCGGTTATTAAGACAAAACCGGGTCATTTTTTTAATGAGAATTTTTTAATAGTACTTTTAACTTCATTAAGAATGAACTATTTTTCAGTATAACAAATAGGAGAGTTTAAAAATGAATTTATATACAATATAAGTAGAATTGTCACGTAATATCTATATACAAAATTATTAATATTGTATCTATAATTAAAATACATCAAAATAATAATACTGATAAAGTACATAAAGAACCATTATTTTTTGCCAATTTTTCGTTGTTTTTTTTTTATATTAACAAAAATTTATACTTCGCTTCTTATTCACTCAAAATACACAAGATTAATATTTATTAAAATATTACAAAATTTATTAGTTAGTTTCATAATTGTATGATAAAGGAAAAAAAAAATTTATACTTGAAAGTTAAGCTTTTTTTAAAAATAACATAAGCTCAACTTTAAAGATCCAAAAAATTACAGAAGCTTTATGGTCCAGTAACAGTAACAGTCCCAAATTTTACAAATCTTTCATTAAACATCATGAACAATTTAAAATTCTTTACATCGCACGTTATTAATTAAATATTTGAATTAATATTAGGATGTTACTTTGTTTTCTGCGTTGAATTTATGATTAAACAATTTTAAATGCAAAAGTGACCTTGTCAAAAGGCGTTTACCAGAGAAAACTTTTTGAAAATTTAAATTCAAATCCTTGATTACTTAGGATTTGGATTCTTCCTGTAATAATAAAACTAAAGAGTAATTTTTGAAGAGAGCAAAAATCGAAAAAATGAAAAAAATAAAGGTCATTAAGGGATCCCTAAGTAAAAATTTCGGTAGGCTTTTTTTTCCCAATCCAGTGCTATCTGTCACTGATGTAAATTGTATAAGAAAAACCCAGCACAGTAATGACGTGGCATATCGTTATATCAAGTATAATGATATCTGACAGGCAGGGCCGTATTTAGGGGGTGGCACGGTTAGGCATATATCCGGGGGCGGCAAAATATTTTAGCAAAATTAATTTTAAAAATGTAATGAAAACAAAATAGTAATTTCATTTTATTAAATATTTTTGTAATTTGTATTTTAGAAAAATGTTATGAACTACTGTTTATATAGCTGTATTATTGCTACGAACTAAGATATGTAGTATATATATAGTATATTCTTGGTCCGTGATCATTGTCTACAAGCGATTTAATAGCTAGATGATAAAGATATTCAGAAAAAATCTAATTTTAGAAATTGATCAACTATTTTACCGAATAAATCAAAACAATGATAATTGTATAGTGATATCGATATTCAATGGTATTGCATTGTAAATTGTGACAGACGACAGTATTAATATATTTTTATTAGTACGTTATACACTTATGACTTATATTATATTTAATTCTTATGTGTTTTGCTTATGCGTCATGTGTGTACTGTGTATGCATTATGAAAGTGTGATGAATTGATACATTGATGATTGTCATATGATATATTACTATATAACATTTATATTATATTATATAATAAGGTAAGTTTTATTATTTTTACCTATACGGTTTAAATTATTTGTAATTGTTACTAGTCTAGTATAAATAATAATAAATATATTATTTACAAATTGTGTTAGTTAAAACTGCACAATATACATAAATATTTTTTTTATTAATATTGGTTTTAAAATTGTTTATTAAACATTTGTAAGTATAGCATTACGTATGTTTCTTTGTACTCCAGCGGCCAATTCTACCGCAGAGCGATCATTTTCAACACTTATAAAAACATAAAAATGACGTATAAAAACATATCTAAGGTCAAATATATCCACAGACAGGCTAAATGCATTGGCAATTTTAAATATTGAATCTCAATTAACTCATCAGATTAATTATAGCGACATAATTGAAGAATTTGCCAATAATCAAGCAAGGAAAAAAATACTTTAAAAAAAAGAAAATTGTATTTTTATTGTTATATTTTGTTTAATTTGTTAATTAAAAAAAGTATTAAATAATTCTCATTTATTAATTATTAAGTTGGATTTTTTGGATTTTAATATTAAAGAATCAATTATGAACGAAATAATTAGTGTTATATTATTATTATTGATTGTGATGATGAGGGGGGGTGTATAAATAATATGCCCGGGGGCGCCAAATTTTTTAATACGGGTCTGCTGACAGGGATTAAAATCGGTATCATAAACAACGCTTCGATGCAAATCTGTAGATAGTGTTTTATTTTAAAAAAGCTACATGATCTCCTATTTCCTTATTTATATCCTATTTACAAGTTTTATGATTTATAAGTATAATATATGAATAAATATATATAGAAAAATGGTGTTATTTTAAAAAAAAGTATGTGAATAAAAGAGGGATATAAATATTATTTTTCATAAAAAAAATTGTTTTGATCCATACACTTTTCAATAAGTTATAGCGCTATTAAGTTAAAAATGTAAAAAATAAAATCAAGAATTTAAAAAAAAAAAAGCATTTGGTAACTATTTTCACCGTGAAGACAAAATAAAGTCCGAATTATTTTTTCCGGACCACTTCAAAAGTTAATTTTTTGTGAAAAAGTTGTCATTTTGACCCCCCCCCCGTGGGCAGGTAAAGGTTCAGATTTATAAAAAACATATACCATATGACTCGTAAAGACATCATGCATTTATAAAAAAAAAATTATATTAATTTGGTATTTTTGATAAAGTTATGGCAGTTTTAATAAAAAAAATTATAAAAATTAGCAATTTTTAAATTTGTAATTTTTTTTTGAGATTTCACCCATTTACGGGGAACGATGGAAACTTTTTCAATTTTTGAGAGTAAAGTCTTCGACTAGATACGATTTGTGATCTTTTGACGTATCGTTTAAAGAAAACAGTTCGATGAGAGCTGACAAAAAGTGGTAACAGACACAAAAAAAATCGCAGCATAGTAAAACTAATACCTTCTCAGCTTCGCATCGAAGCTAAAAAACACATATTTAAACTAATACCTTCGTATCGAAGCTAAAAATATAATTTATACAAATTATTTAAAACTGTAATCACATTAATTATGAACCAAGATTATTAAACATATTACTTTATATATATATATATTTCAATATTATGGGTTACTAAGATATGTATTATGGTTATAACTTCTATTTTACTGTCAAAAACAGTAAAATTACTAATTTTAACTTTTGTATAATTATCCTTTGCTTACCCAACTGGCGTCGTTTAATAAATTGCTAACTGCAGAAAATATTTAAATATCTTGATCTTCTGTATGGGTTTTGGACGACCAGTAGCGTCGTCCATACGGTAAAATATTAGTATATTATTATATTGAGTAATTTATTTTTAGAATTAACTGCTTGTCGTTATCGGTTGTTATAATAGTATAATTGGCTATTATTATTATTTTCATTTCTATTTTCTACTGCGACTTTTAAAATAATAATGTTTTTTTTATCATATTTAATTTTACAACTTTTTATACTTTTGACTAGTGGTATTATATTTAAAGTCGCATTCGCACCAACAGCACCTACGAGCCACCACTGAATATAGTCGACTAATATTAAATACTATGACAATATTAAAATCAATAATTTATAGATATAGTAGTGATGGAAAAAAATTACAGTAATAGTGATCTATAACAGTTAATGCTATTTTGTACTTTACACAAAGTGGATTCCTTGTAAAATATCCTTTAAATATTTTTTATGTAGAGTAAGACTGAGTAAAATGACAAATTCAGTATTTATCAAAATCAATCAGTTATAGCAGCACATACTAGCTGACATAAAATTGTCTTACAATACACTTCGTTACTCTACCGTATGTTGATAATATTGAATATTAAACACCCCACCTACAAATTTTTTAGGTTTTACTCTTTACTATTCAAATTCGCCTCTATAAATTTATGGAAGCCTATTGCCTTTCTAAGAAACCTCTAATAACGATAAAAAAAAAGTTCAACCCCTTAAATGTTTTAATGATCTTCACAATCATAAAAGTAACTAAAGGAGCTAAGCCACCTCTCCTCAAATAAAATTAGACATTATGTTAACGGTTACATGAAATAATTTTTAAATGGATTTAAATTAAAAATATTGTGGTGGTGTCATGTTTTAACCAAACCTACTTTCTTATCATATATTATTTATACTCTGTGCAAGTACTTTAAATTTGCAGATGGCCGCTTAAAATTATTATTCACTCCAATTATTTGAAAATTGAAGTTTAAAAAATATTAATAATTTTTTAGGTGGTGAACTTAATAAATATATAATACTGTTGATTAAAAATTGCATGAAATATAACAGAAAAAAAATTTAATTTGTTAATC